AATCTTTAGTTACCTTAGACCTCGACAGTTGCTTAATTACAAAACTTTGTTTACTTTTCCGAGTGTTATAAAACTCAGTTTATCAATGAATATTTTTTTCGAACGAAATTTTAATGGTAATTTGCAAATCGTTAAGAGCCTTAAGTGTGTGTGAAGGAGCAAAAGGGGAGGCTTGATAAGAGAGTGATAATTGTGTCCATCACACTAAGAGCAAACACGTGCGCATAGTCACACCACTCCACACTCAAAAAAAGTTAACCAAAAGTAAAATTAGATAAGTCTTGGTTTAAAATAGAATTAAAAGACATAATCATAGTAACATGTTTGTCTCTTTCCACCACCACCAGCAATCTTGTTTTCACTTTCGAATGTCTACCAAAGTAACAGCATTTTTTACTTACTACTTTTTCTGTTCCTTTTTACTCCTTGTCTCTTTTTAGAATCTGTTTTGTTATTGAAATTTGATTTGAGAAAATTATGGATCAATTCCGAAAACCCACTTCGTGGTGGGAATTTGTAAACTTTAGCACGTTTTATATTTTCCACCGCCCAATAAGGGATATACATATCAAAATGCCAAATGAGTGTTTCTTTTGACATGAAAAATATGTAGAGCCCCCACCACAAGTGAAAAATAAGTAAAAATTTGGTCAATTTTAAACCATAGAAGATAAATCTTCGCTGCACATGTACTATAAAAATAAATTCATGCATCATGTCTCTGATTTTTTTTTTTTTAATGCTTGAGGATCGTAGATTTGACACTACTTAGAGTAAATAGTAATCGTAATTTTAGATCTCTTTGACATGCTGAAATAAACCATAATTGTCTGACTTTGTCTCTTACCATGACACCTTTCTCTACAACATCTACCTTTCACAATCATTTTCTATATCACTTTAATATACCTTTTACACACACAAAGGCTAGCTTTATATTTGCACACTATATTTACTCAAAAACAAAAATTGTTTGCACATTATTTAAAGTTTAGGAAGAAGAATGGGAAGAACAAATAATTGGAGTCAGAAGGAGAATGTTGGTGATATGCTTAGCAGCGTGGCTGCGTGTGTACTGTTGCAAGTCAGCGAACTCTCCTTTTGCCTCCTTTTCTCATAGATCACTTTATGATTGGATGCGATCTATTTTACTTCTTCCTTTTTCATAAGTTAACTTTTAGTCTTTTAGTGTGTATATATAATATATACACAATATATATGGTACAATTCAGAAACATATTTACACGTCATTAAGAAATGTAACTTACTGTTAATGTGTAAATATCTTAAAATAACAATATCATATCAGTTTAAACATAGAGATAAAAAAAAACATAGATGAACGTAAAATATAATGAATGAAGAAGAATATACGTACCAAATTCATTTTTAGCCTTCGCATGCACAATGTGGAAAATCTACGTTGGGGTATAACCGTATAAACATAGATCTAAAGCGATATCCTACGCCACCAAATATTAGAAAATAATATTAATAGTTTGTGAAATCGATGAGTTGAGTGGACTCATTTGTAAAATCGTATATGAAACATGTTTTAATTAAGATATCAATTGTTCTATCTTCTTCTTGTAAACGTTCACGTTATATATATCTATATATGGCAGACAAAATTACTTGAGATGATAAAAGAAGGTCTTCTAATCGTGAAGCGGGTCAAAGCAGACAAAATCAAACTCCTCACGAAGCTTCCTTCTCATTCAACTGCGCAATTTCAAAGTATGAATGTATTCAGTCAAACATTTATGCACATTTTTGAAAAAAGATTAATTAGCAAGTGGAATAAAATTAGAGACATGCATGTATATACACACATATTAATGTAACATATACTGTGCAATGTGTTTACGGGGATTTTCGCGCTAACTTGACGGAATGTCTCTTCTCCAATCACTACAAATCCCGTTACATAAGCAGATTTTATACACCTACAACTTTGAGTTATTTTTGTTTTAAAAATAGTTCACGTATTTAAATCATAATCTACCTAAAATAAATGGTGTGGATAGATTTTCGATTAGGTACTCTGAATTGTAGTCATATCTTTGAAAACTCCAAAGCAAAATTTAGTACTACACATAAAAGAACAAATCATCAATCGTATGCATAGCACCGTTCTAAATCAGATGAAACTGAAACAATAACTAATCAATAATGAAACTATGTTTGATTATATTATGCTATATTTTAATGTTCGAAATTATTTTGGATCGGATAAGTTTAGCTAAGGAATTCATCTGGAATTTTGAGAATATGTTACCTGCACGATAACAAATGTACAATTAGAGGAACAAATATATTTACGGCAAGACTGATGAGTTGGAAAGAAACGAAAAAATCTCTATATGGTTCTTAATGTAGATATAATATTATGATGCATGAATTGTGGTTTGAAAGGAACATGTAATATAGATTCATGTACTATAGATTCATGAAAGACAAATAATTGTTCCGACATTTATTAAAACTAGGTTTGAAGCCCCGCGCAAGCGCGGGGTTGTTTGCGATAGTTTTCTGTTTAGTTTTATCTATATTGTTGATTTGAATTATGATGGTTTTGTATTAACTTTCATGTTTTTTGTTTATGTTTTGAGTTAACCCAATCACTAACATTAAAAATATGAACAATTTGTCTTTTATTTTATTTTATTAGGATGTTAACACTCCCACTTTATCTCGAGTTTTCTATTTCTAAAATTTTAGCATGTTATAAATATTATGTTTGTTTACTTCTGTTAGACTATAAACATGCATATGCATTGGACTCAACGTTAAAATTTGTAAGCATAATGTAAAATAGCATTTGGACCCGAAATAAGATGAAAAAAATAATATATATACTTTTTTACATATCTACTTTGTTGTGGTAGCATATGAGCCTCATAACCATTGATTATTTTCTATTATGTTAGTTTTGTAAATATTAATTATATTTTGAGACAAACATATCACAATCCTTAAAATTTTCATGTTTTTCACTGCAATTAAATTTACATATAAAAACTCGACTTCTATTTTTTTAAATAAACTCTAACTCTAATTTCTCATTGGCTTTTTATTATCTTAATTAATTTATATTCAACTTTTTAACTTGTAAACACATTATAACATTTTGAAATAGGATAAATTCTTTTAATAAAAAGGTAAATATATACCATTTCAAGTTACATATATTTTTACTTATATTCAAACTTTTTGATAAATTTTAACATCAAGTTATCACATATTTTATATTAATTAAGTAATTTAGTTGTGTATTTTTCTTAGTTTTATTTATATTTAAAATATAAATATATGCAAAGAAATATGAAAAGTCATGTATTAAATATCTTAAAAACAATTTAATGAATTTTTGTGCTGATGTGGACACTCTATATGGAGAGAGCAACTCCCTAATTATGTACTCCCTCCGTTTTTTTTTAATGAATTTTCTAGCCATTATGTGTTGTTTCACAAAGATAAAATTTTTACCTTTTTGATGCACTTTTTCAGTTTTCAAGATACAATGATTATATTTGTTGGATTTTTACTGGTTTAAAATTATAAAAAGTTGTTTTATTGCAGAAATCTATGTACTAATGATTGAAAATCAACTTTTTCTTAATTTGTGTGAAAAAACTAGAAAATTTATCTTTAAAAAACGGAGGGAGTATAAGATATGAATGTGCATGCATCTATATATTCTCCGCAAATGCATGTTTATATTTTCTATGTTTTATACGCCAATTTAGATCAAATCCTCACACTGTTTGAGAAAAGTAACTCAGTTTTCTATCTTTTTAACGTCTCGTAAATCAGATCTCTATGATAATTTGTTTTACATAACTATAACACACTCATAAGATAAATTATATTTAAAATTGTAAGTGTTTAATTCGTGTCGAAGCTGAAACTGGCGGTTTAGTTTGGGCACTAGCTCGGTCATCTATCAAATTTGACAAGCAAACGCAACAATAAGCTTCAAAATATAATTGCATCCTCTTTGGAAATGATCTTTAGGATAGTTGACAGTTCCATCCGTGATACGATCTTGGCAAAACGTACAAGATCTTTTGGTAGTATGATGCAATCTTGGCTTGTTAGTTTCAAGTGGTTTTTGTTTGCAAATTTACCCTCGACTCTAGAAAAATGCATATCAACCCATCAAGTTTGAATTAATCCGCAATATAACCCGTGTATTTAATAAAAATTATTTAAAAAACATCGTCTAGAAATAACAAAGGAGATTGAAAATCTTATTAGTTTTCATAGTCATGTGTTGGCTTTGTGTTGGAGACCAAAAAGTTTAGTGTGGTCGAACAACTGAGATAGAACCGAACTATGGTTTTTTCCATCTTCTTTTTTTGAATTGAAGAGATCTTTGATTCCTTTATTTAAGAAATAGAAAAAAAATATATTTAATTTCCAATATCCAATGTAGATTAAACACTTGTTTAAGTTAATGAATCATGTATTCACTTTAATTTTGTAATCATATATATAGAATAAATTAACTCAAACATAATACTTTTAATAAACTTGGTCTGTGGATACCAAAAAAACTAGTTTGAATACATGTAATAAACTTGCATGTGAATACCCAAAAAAAAAAAATCTTTTTATTTTTAGATACGGGTTATATTGCGGGTTAATTCAAACTTGATGGGTTGATATGCATTTTTCTAGAGTAGAGGGTAAATTTGCAAATAAAAACCACTTGAAGGGTTAATTTGCAGAAAACCCTATTTACATCCTTGTCAAAAGTCGAAACATAGTTTTTTTTTTGAGAAAAGGCTTTCTTAATTTAAATGCAGGAAATGAAAAAATATTACAAGCCCGTGGGCTATAGTTGTTTTTAGCAAAGGCCCTTTGCTTTAGTGTTTAACTTTTTCTTAATTGAACCAGCCCAAAGGTTAAAGCTCCACCCAAAATTGGGAGAGAAGAAGTGAACTTGTAAAACGAAGAGGATAAAGTTAGGGAGAAGGATAAGACGAGCGGTTCCAATGGATTATCCCGTTCTTCACCTGGCGTTTTCCGATGACTTCACAAAAAACTTAGTCAGTCTCACTCTCTCTCACGTTAAAGTGGAAGTAGACTTGACAAAGGTGTTACCTGATGTTGTGGAATTTGAAAGAACTAGTGGTGAAGTAGTTGAAGTCATGGTATCTTACCCCTGGCTCCCTCCGCAGTGCTCGCATTGAAGAACTCGGGCACATTGCAAAGAACTGCCTGCTTCTTCCTATCCCCCCAAAAGCTGATCCAAACCCCTCTGCCAAGGAGAAAGTTAGAAAAGAATACCAAAAGAAGACAGTGGCAGCTGTCAACCCAAAAACCATGGAAAAGAAAAACCCGGAGGCTCTTTCTGTTTCTCCAGGCCCCGGTTTACCACCTGCGCCTCCTCTACCTACCCCAGCCCCTCTCAAGGAGACTCCCCTGTCAGCTCCGCCCTCTCCTCTCCCTCCCTCTTCCCAAGTGTCCGGCTCCCCAACCCCCTTACCAAAACCTCATCCCCCCCTGTCCCTCCCTCTCCAGACTCCCTCTCTCTTTTACCTTCCCATTTATCATCAAAAATCCCTTCCCACCCCTCCCTCCCAGTTATCTTAGCTCTTCCTGCAGCTATTACCCCCTCAGGTGAACCCTACCTTTATAGTCCACCCAAACTGTCTGGTCTAAAGCGTTCTCGCTCAAATCCTACCCTCCATTCACCAAAGGACCTTCCTCTTACCCTTGCCCGCCCCACTTTTGTTCCTAAACCCTCCTCGGTAACCCAAATCCCTTTAAAAAATACCTTTTCCTCCCTAACTACCTCTTTTACCTCTCTCGAGAATCTGCCTACCCCAGGGGATTCTTCCTCAACCGCTTAATGGATCTAAAACTTTTTTTTTGGAATGTTCGAGGCCTAAATGACCCGAACAAGCATAGGCCCTTTTGTGATTGGCTTCAAAGTCATCAACCTTTTTTTGGATCTATCTTGGAATCTCATATTAAAGATTCCTCTTTGAACCAGCTCATGAATAAGCTCTGCCAAGGCTGGAAATTTGCTTCTAATCACCTGTCAGACGAAGATGGAAGAATAATCCTTATCTGGCGAGACCCGGTCTCGGTGCGAATCCTGAACCAAACCCCTCAAAGCATCAGATGAAAGTCGAAACATAGTTGTTACAAAATATATGGTAATCAAAAGCTGGAACTTAAAAATTCTTAGACGTGATTAGAACAGTTAAACAAATCGAAGTCAATGATTTTAGAGGGTCAAAATCAAAGTTAGAGACTAATTTACGTAAAAGATTTTGGAGAAGGAATGGATCTTGTTGAGATTCTTTAATACAGAAGTCAAGCTGTGTTAGAAGATTATCGATATGCACTTGACTTGGTAGTATATACATAATACATGCGTTTGTTATTTTTGAAGAGAACAGGCGCCGAAAGGAGAAACATTAGACTCATTAGTCCATTAGCTTCAATGTATTTGAAATTTAACGAAATAATCAGAGTAAATATGTTTTTTTTTTTATGAATGTTAAGAAACTATATTTAAATACACGCATTTTCTGCTTGGTTTTAATCACACCGCTTTCTGCTTGGTTTGAATCTGTATAATGACAGTTTTTACTGTATATCTCCATATTTTAAACAACACTATTCATTTCTCCATTAGAGTAAATGTGTTGAAACAAATGATTCACTTCCCACATCGTCCGGAAAGTACAAAAAGATCCAAATCCGATTATAGAGAAGAAAAAGAAAAGAAATAATAAGATTTTTGGATTTTATAAAGAAAATATCAACACATATGTGAGAGAGAGAGAGAGAGAGGATGAGGCATGGGAGAGATGTTCATAAGATTTTTGCCTCTTCATTTGACGACAACACTTCTCTTCCTCACAAATGGTTGCCTTCGCATTGGTTGGCATTCGCATGCATCCCCAAACTTATTTTAATTATTATTGTCGTTAATTAAAATAATACTATACAATAAACTCTCATTATGATTTTTGGTAATGCCTTTGTTACGCCTTTATTTGCTCCTCATGTCATGTGGTTACTCTACTTCAATATTTTTACTCCAACTTAATTAACTGAGAGTATTTCCTTAGTAAGAGATTGTTTCTAATAGCATCCTTGTATTTTTGAAGTCATTTTCAAACTTTTAAGAAGATATTAGAAGAAACATAGAAAATATGAAGGTTGAATTAATCTCTATACCATTAACTTCTCCAACAAATCTACCAAAGTTTTAAACTTAATATACTAAAGTCGATCGAAGTAAAATAATTTGGCAAGAAATTTTGATGAAAAAGCAAAAGTTTGATCATAAAATATATACATTGAGTAAGAATTAAAACAAAAGGAAACCATAGGTTCTGAATTTTTTTCTTTAATGTGTTTTTACTTTTTACATTGTTCTTGTCTTCTTGATCCTATACTTTGACCAAAGAAGAATACATATCTCTGTAAAAACAAACATATCTGGTTTGAAAAATATTGGTCACAATCAAAAAGTGTATCTGTAATCTGTCTATGTGTACATATGGATGAAGGAAGAATAAAAGTAAGAAATAGAATAAGAATGGCTGAAGAGGACTCTAGTTGACATACACATCTACATTCCTTCCAATCATTTAAATAATGTAAACGAATAACAAAAGTGAATTATTATTTCAGTAAATAAAATATTCGAATAACCAAAATTTTCAAATTAATTTAGTTTTCATTTTTAAAATCTAAAGTGTAATGATGGCTTGAACACCCCACGAGCCATTCACACATCAACTTTTTATTCCCCAAGGAAGAGAAAAAATACTATAGATTATAAACTCAAATCTCACTATATCTCCAATTACTCCTTCAAAATCAATCATTCACTTTGCTTTGCCGCTCCAATGGCTCTCGAAACTTTCTTAATAAAACTCAAAAACGCAATTTCCTCCAAACCCACTTCTCGTCGACCAATCCGATCATCTCCTCCGATCACCACCACAACAACCACCACAACAACCACCACTTCCTCCGTCGGAGTTTTATCGTTTGAGGTGGCACGTGTCATGACCAAAATCCTCCATCTCACACACTCTCTTACCGACTCAAACCTCCTCAGTCTCCGAGATAACTCTCTGTCCTTAGAAGGCCTCAGCAAAATCGTCGCCGGCTACGAAACCTTCCACCTCAGCCTCGTATGTGCTGAGCTCGCCGATAGTTTCGCCCACACCGCTGATTCTGTTTCCAGACTAAGCCGCCGCTGCACCACTCCGAGCCTCCAATCCTTCCACCGCTTATTCCATGAGTTTGCGGACATGGGTCGTGACCCTCATGGGTGGGTTATGAGCTGTAAAGACACCGAAGCTAAGAACAAGAAAATCGAAAGGTAAAGAGAGTTTCTTTACACTCAACACATAAAACAGAGCAAAAACAGAGTAAAAACAGAGAGACTGATTTTGTGTTTTTGTTGATGGAAGCAGATATGTGAGTGTGACGACGGCTTTGTATAGAGAGATGGAAGAGATGACGACTTTAGAGAACTCTTTGAGAAAACACAGTTTACAGTTACAGATTGGGATTGAATGCGACGAAGAAGAAGACGACAAAGAAAACAAGAAAGATGTGATGAAAGTGATGGATCTGCAGCAGAAGATCGAGAGACAGAGACACCATGTCAAGTATCTGAAAGACAGATCACTGTGGAACAAAAGCTTCGACACGGTCGTGTTGATTCTCGCCAGATCGGTGTTCACAGCACTCGCCAGGCTCAAATCTGTCTTCTCCTCCGCCGCAGCAGCATCCGGCGGCCATGTAGGCCCCACAGTCGTTTCTTTCCTTCCTCGCTCTCTCTCTCTTTCTTCTTCTTCCTCGATGAATCTTGTTCACCCGAGCCCGAACGACGAGGATAGGCTCAAAACGGCGTCGTCCTCTGCGTTTCTGGAAGAAAGCTCGAGGCTTTTGAAACCCCCGGAGACGACTCTCGGTGGATCCGGCGTGGCGCTTCACTACGCGAATCTGATAGTCGTGATGGAGAAGATGATAAAACAACCACAGCTGGTGGGTCTCGACGCGAGAGACGATTTGTACTCCATGTTGCCGGCGAGCGTGAGGTCGTCTCTCAGGTCGAGGTTAAAGGGTGTAGGGTTCACGGCGACGGACGGCGGGCTAGCGGCGGAGTGGAAGGCGGCGTTGGGTCGGATCTTAAGGTGGCTGTTACCGTTGGCGCAGAATATGATCAGGTGGCAGAGTGAGAGAAGCTTCGAGCAGCAACGCATTGTGATTAGTCAGAACAGAGTGATGTTGGTTCAGACACTTGTGTTTGCAGATAAACTGAAGACAGAAGCAGCCATTACAGAGCTTCTTGTTGGGTTGAATTACATTTGGAGATTCGAAAGAGAGATGACTGCTAAAGCTCTGTTTAATCTGCAATCTCCTTCTCCTAATCACAGCTAATTTTACTGTAGAGTCTTTTTCTTCTTCTTCTTGGTGTCATTTGATAATGCGAATTATGAAAATGAGAAAGCGATTTTGGTGGGTGTGATGTGTAAGTGTAAGGCCCCTAACTGGTGTATTGCTGAATGCAGCTGAATTCAGCTGAATATTGTTTATAAGACACCAGTCACATTTGTTGAATGCAGCTGAAAATCTCACAAAAAGACAAAAATTGAAGAATTTTTTCTTCAATTATTAAGATTTCCCATAAAAAGACAAAAACACAACTTTTACTTTTTGTAGATAAATTGAAAAAACTAATATCATGATTGAAATATTACTTATGATGTTAAAATTGCTAAATTTGCTTTAAAAATGCTAAAATTAATAAATTGCTAAAATTAAAACGAAAATACATAATTTATTTTTTAGGTTTAGTAAACTATAATGACACAAAATTCTTCAGTTATATATATAATTTTTTTTTATGATGTGACTATTGTTAGGTATTTACTTATTTCATAAGTATATGTTTTTTCATAATTCAACTGGGTAATTATTTTATTATTTTGTTATACAAATAATATTTTTTATATTTTTATACACTAGAGACTTTAAAAATTTGAAAACATGAATTATTTTTAAATTATAAAAAAGTTTATAATATTAAACCAAATCACCCATCTATTTAAAATTTAAATGATTTGTGAGTAAATGATTTAAGTGTAATAAAATATTGTTGTTTTGTTAAGATAAATTCTGTTTATATTTCATAAGGTTAATCATATATATATAATATTTAATACCAATATTTTTGTTTGAATTTTCAAGTTTAAAAACAAATTGTTTTTTTTTATTCCGCATTCAGCAACATTCAGCAGTTACCATTCATACTATTAACTAATCAGCCAGATTCCGCAAAAAGTTTTCATTTAATTCAGCCAGATTCCGCATTCAGCAACATTCAGCGGTTACCATTTAGACCCTAAGTGTGTAACAATTTAGATATATTGGAATGAATTTGAGTGATTTATTTTCGTAGAGTATGATGTAATCGGCAAAAAGAAAGTACATGCTAAATGCTATGAACCCTCAAAACATTGGAATTTAGAGGTTATTAATCAATAGGAAATGGGTATTTGAAAGAAATTAAACAAGCTTTTGAAATTAAATATTTGGAGCATACATGTGGAGTATTTTGTCTGCTGCTATACTTTGTTACTCGGAACAAACGGAAATTTAAAACGAAGTATATATTTTTGATAAAATGAATCTAAAGAATCGAATTAGATGCCGAATATATCAATTGCACCTAAAATACTTTACCTTTAAAGTTTATTTGAACCGACTTTACATTAGAAAACTAAAAAGTACTAATCATTTAGTCAATAGTTAGATCGGTGTAACTCATGCTAGAGATTAAGAGTCAACTAATTTCTGTGTTTTCATTATATTTTAGTGGACTACTTTTAGAGTAACTGTGCTGTACATCCATAAAAAAAAGGTGTGCATGATTTTTCTAATGGTCATTGAGAAGACCTTTAATTTTATGTTCATGTATACAATTTCTGTTTTTTATTCAAATAAGTTCAAATCGTGATCTTGCATGTCAAAATGTAAGTTTTTGCCGCATCATTCTCTTGTTCAGTGTAGTGCTGTACATGTATTATGTCATATTCGTTTTATTTCCTTACTTTACTAGATCGGGAACTGTAGATATGAGGAAAGAAATCGATTTTAACAACATGGACTGCTTAAAAAGTAACGCACTGATTGTTTATTTCATATATATATATATATATATATATATATACCTTTTTCTAATCAATAAGTAACGCACTGATTGTTTATTTCATAATTGAAGCTGATGTTTCTATCTCGTGAACATGCTGCGAGAGTGGTTTATGTGCCAACTAAATTGCAAGCTTTGCCATGCATCGATTCATCACCAAAAATGTTATTAGACCGTATAACACATCTTGGACATGATTTAACTTTATCTTTTGTTAGCCTTGTGTTTTTTTTATTTTTTTTATTTCTGTGTGTACAGTTTCATGTCAATGGTACAATTGTTGATAGTTTCAAGTTTAGGACAGATAATATAAAAATCCGAGAACCTTTAAGCTTCAAATCAAGAATCTATAAAGCAAATGTGATTTTCGTTATCCTCTGTGATGTGAGCATTATCACATTACCCAACTGGATTTAGAGTAAACCTCGACGTTGTCGTTAAGTAGACATCTCGATTTTTTTTCCAAACTACTTACACTTATTAGAAATTACAAACTACTCCAACATTTATATCTAATTTTCAGTTTTGGACCACAAATATTCTTTACCCGCTTCCGCGCTCGACTCGGAGCTCGTCGCAAAACTGGTGCGCATAACAAGATCTCTCTCCATCCCCCGTCACTGAAAAACCTCTCCGATCTGCCACTAGCTATGGCGGTAAGCCCCGCCGGATCTCCACCTTCCAAAGATTCGAATCCCAAGTTTCCTTAATTCCATTTCCTTTTTGTCTACAGGAATCGTCTGGTACGACGCTGATGGATCTGATCTCAGCGGACCCAACCCCGGTTCCTGCACAAGCCTCCGCATCTTCCACGGCGTCTCAGCCGTCTCCTGGAGCCGCATCGGCGGCTTCGCATCTGCACCATCCGATGCCTACGACTACGAAGACGACGCTGGGTGAGAGGAAATCGAAGAGAGCCACTTTGATGCAGATCCAGAACGACACTTTATCTGTTGCCAGAGCTGCTCTACACCCTGTTAAAGCCAATATCATGCCGCAAAGGCAGAGACAGAAAAAGAAGGTGCTGCTGCTGCTTCTCTTTCTCGCTCTTCATTGAAAAGTTTAGGCCAATTGTTGGATTGTATTGTTTTCCACATTCTCTAGTGTGCTTCAACTCCCTTAGTCGTTAAGCTACTGAACCAGATCATATCTGATTGCGGTATTAGATTTGAACAGTTGATAGGTGGAATAGGATATGCTTCTGTGTTGTTGTTCCATGTTATCAGAAAACGAAATGTGAATTGTAGAGGAACGAGATCTACCTCTATCTTATTCTTCGATTTAGTTTTAAGTGTTTGACACAGTTTTTGTGTTGGAAATGACTTCACAGCCAGTTTCATATACCCAACTTGCAAGGAGCATTCACGAATTAGCTGCCACTTTGGATCAGGTTAAGTCTTTGCTCTTATTCTCTGCCTTTAAACCTATTTTCTTCTGTTGAAAATTGTAGCTGAAATCTGAATGTTTCTTCTTTTCTGTTTTTTTTCTTTTTCTTTCCCATGACTGAACAGAAAAGTTCCCAGAAACAACTAGTGAATCACGTGTTCCCTAAGCTTGCTGTGTACAACTCCGTTGATCCTTCTCTGGCCCCATCTCTTCTTATGGTATGTGGCGCTGGTTCCTGGTTTGACGATTAGTTATAGTCGGATCGATACTGTTCTTCGTATCATTTGTTTTGATTTTATAATGGAGCATCTAAATTCCTATTAGACTCCATTAATGTTACATGAATCTTTAATGCATTGCATTTTGAAAACTATCTGTCCAGTAGAGGCATCAGATTTTTAGCATCCTTTTCCTCTTATGGTTGGTACAGCTTAATCAGCAATGTGAAGACAGGAATGTGCTGCGCTATGTCTATTATTACCTAGCTAGAATTCTGTCGGATACGGGCATGAGTCCAGGGGGTGGTATCCCTACTCCTAACTGGGATGCTCTAGCAGACATTGATGCTGGTGGAGGAGTCACAAGAGCGGATGTCGTTCCTCGGATAGTGAATCAGCTTACATCCGAAGCTTCAAATTCCGAACTTGAATGTGAGTGTCATCCGTATCGGCCATCATGGTTTTGATTTCAGGCTTTATATGTTTTCTTATATATATAATTCTGCCTTAAAGGATGAATGCCATGTCAGTGACTCATCGTAAAATATTGTTTTTTTTCTGGAATCATGAGGGATGTCCTAATCTGGTTTATCTTTATAATGGTATTGCTTATTTAATGCTTCTTAATAAATATCCCAGTCCCAAATAATCTTCTTTTGATGTACACGATTAAAAATACTGAGTGAGAGCAGTGATGTTAAGAGGTAGTTATGTAGATGTGGTGTCAGCTTTAGTTGTGGAATTCAATAATTTGGTGGTTATGGATGTGAAAACCAAAATCTACGACTGTAAATAGAAATTAATAGCTTCGACATCCTTGTAGCATTATTTCCTACTTTGTAGCATTCTCTTGCAACTATCCTTCTGTGATGTGACTGGAGATGATTTTCTCACCTTATAATATGTTATTCTTCAGTTCATGCTCGACGACTGCAAGCTTTAAAAGCTCTGACATATTCACCGTCAGGAAATTCTGAGCTTCTGTCAAAACTGTATGAGATTGTATTTGGCCTGCTTGACAAGGTTGGTCTTACTACCAATGCTCTCTGATGTTTAACAGGATGCTTTGCTTATATTCCATAAGTTCTGGCTTAGTTCATATTTTTGTACTCTGTGAAAAATGATGATTTTAACTAAGTTTTCGGCTTTCTTTTAACTCTACAATCAAATTTTAAATTATTGCATTAGTAAAGTGGTTCAATCTAAAGATTCTTTCCTAGTTACATGCAGAAGCACTGATTTAGGTTTCATGTCGCTTTCAGGTTGCTGATGTTCCGCATAAACGAAAGAAAGGTGTCTTTGGGACAAAAGGGGGTGATAAGGAGGTAATTTTCTCAACTCTCAGGTTCCTCCAGTGAAAGGCTCTTGTTTCCTGCATTTCATAGTTTTCCTTTTCATGCTGCTGTGCTTGTTCTTTGCCATGCTGTGGGGTATACATTTTTCAAAATTTGCCACTATGCACTAGGCAGTGTAGTATAGTTATTCTTTGATGATTTGACTTTGCACACCTGGAGATTCTGGCTGCAAGTTAACAGCTTCTCAATTCCTTTGTTAAATGTCAGTTTAATTGAAGACACATTTCTTTAAAACATCACAACCCTGTCCTTATATTAGATTATCAATAA